ATTGCTTACACACACCTCGGATCCCTGTACTTCCGAAGGTTTCGACCGTTCGTCTTCCCCCAATTTCTTTGAGGCTTCAATGTTATCGGGAGTGGGAGAGCGGACATCATCCTTTTCGGATTCGCTGCCGCTCCTTGACCGAGTCATTTACTCACTGAACAGATAGCTTTTAGTTGGATATAAACTTCAGATATTGAGTGAAGAATATTAGATGAGATAAATGATGGAGGAACAGCAAAGTGATGCGCAGGATCCGGATGTTAATTTCGCTCGAGGTTTCTTTTCTTACATGAGTGGAAATACGGAAAAACCCGTTAGATTATAAGTAATTGGCATATGTTTCAACTGTAATACGTATGCATACTGATATAAATGTGATGCTTCGCCTTGTTTATAGAGTCAACAAACACTTCCCCTTGTTTTGGATCAAAATTCACGGAGGTAAGGTCGGGAAATCCACAAACCATTATTTGTCGGGCCCGGACAATTTAAAGGGAATAATTGCGCCTTTTAAATAAGGAACAAATGTGGGATACAAATATACAAATGCAAACAGTTCATTAGAATAGACTGAAGACGTTTTAGAAGGCATAGATTTATCTAATGGGCTTCCTAAAAAAATTCATTACCGCTCAAAATACTTGAGATTTTGTTTCGTTGCTAAGAAAACTGCAGAATTTCACTGTGACAAATATTGGTGATTATAGTCAGTCTAATTGAAATAACGTCTTCTGTCTTGTCCCCTGAGACCAATGTTAAGTGAATACGTTGTTGAGAGCGCTAGTGTAAGTGAACGCTTAAAGATCCTGGTTATATTGTCCGGGCCCGACGGATAATGATTTGTGGGGACCTTCAAGCAGTACAACATTCTTTCATATAAAGAAAAAAAGGGGAATGAAAGGAGATTATTTTCGAAAGGCAAAAACCACAAAAGCGTCTTGGGATACGATCCGTCGTTGGACGCGAAAGCGCGCTGTTTAGCGAGTTTTCCGTGCCGCTGTTTTTAAATCATTCATTTCT